ATCGGGGATTGGTTCGGCGTAGAAGCTGAAGATCTTGTCGGAATCTGTGTGCTTGTATTACGATGAACAGAAAACCTACTGTACAGCATTTTCCAGGCGAGCCATGCGATGAAATATGTGCCGGCTGTTCGCAGAATCTGTCTGTGACCAAAAATACATGGATACTAAATGATACATACGTGCTTCCTGATGGCTTTGCGAACATGAAAGTAGCAAAGCATAACGTCACAACCAAACACGACCCTGGCAGCACGCATTTGCCCCGCCAACTTGTCCATTACGAAGAACCTGACCGGGTACGCTTCGCCCATTATTTCTTTGAATAAGCCGAACAGCTTACGCATGGGAGCAAACTGCTCGCTCTCTAGAACGCATACATAACCGGACGCCCGAATCCTATGCCGTGCATTTTCCAGAATGTGTACAGTTTATATCTAAATGCCGAATATTAGATGCTTTAAAAAACTTACCCAGGGCGGATTGTTGCATGCGTTCCGTCTACATTTACTTCATCTGGAAAGCGTCGGAATAACGCTATCTGCTTCCATCGAGAGAAAAATATGTGGCTGTAGTGACCTTCGTCTCCCTGACACACAAAAATGCGTCCGGTATTTCGAAGTTTTGCCAGGACCGAAGTCAGCATCATCATCATCGACAGCATGACACCATCGAGAGATATGTGGCTGTAGTGACCTTCGTCTCCCTGACACACAAAAATGCGTCCGGTATTTCGAAGTTTTGCCAGGACCGAAGTCAGTCAGCTCATCATCGACAGCATGACATCAGTGTTCAACACCGATGCTTCACTGTCGTACAACCATGACTTATTTGAAAGTCTTATTGTAAAGAAAAAAATAAAGGTGGACAGGGAAGGGACCTAGTGCTAGCTTAACACAATCATTCCGAGGTGCCTACACCTCCAGACATTCACTCAGGCAATCTGGATAGAAACTCACAACAAAAACGCCACTGACATCGGTTGGCGGCCATATCTTGTAGTGTCTCCAACCAGGCACAGTGAGGATCACGCGGTCCCCATCCTGGAAGGCGAGTAGCACCGACAGCACCCAAGCGTTTCGTGATCTCCTTCATACTCCTCTGCCAGGTCATGGGTTGGCCACCTCTCTGTTTACGCCAC